CATTGGTATGTAATCTGTTGATTCGGAGCGAAAGGGTTAGAAATCGGGAATGGAAATCTGGGATTGCACCCGTTTCTCCCACGATCGTTCAATTCGATGGTAAGGGTGTGAGGCTGATTTATGAAGGGGATAAAACTAGGGTTAGAAACAGTCATGTAACATCCAGAATTCCAGGTATCATATTTTAATTATTTAGTTTGTGTCAAGAAGAGGGACTCGACGAGTTGACGCCTAGACTCGTCGAGTAGGATCGCGATTGCTGACTGGATTTAATGAATGGACTCGACGAGTCCGCGCTGTGGACAGAAACCCTAAATCCTCGGGCCTGTGGCATATTTAAGGGATCTTATGGCCCTCATTTGCGGCCACCTTCACCCTTGAGAGCACCAGAGAACCTGAGAGCATTGTGAGTGAGATAAGAAGCCATTTTCTTTATTTCTAGTGTGATTTTTGCAAGAAAGAAGGAAGGAGGGCAAGCTAGGCAGATTGAGGAGCTCAGATCTGCTATCATTTGATTAGAAGAGGCTGCCAGAGGTATAAATCTATGCTCATTCTCGTGTATATGGTGATCTACTTAAATCTAGGGTTTTCTTATGCCTTCTGTAGCTTGGATTCGAAGCATATGAGGTCCCAAGGTGGAATTCTTCTTAGATCTGGACCTTAAGAGGTCCAGAGAGTCCTAACTATCCTGCTTTATGCTATTCCTTTGGATATATGAACCTAGGTTGCCATTTTAGAAGCTATTTCACCAAAAGAAGCCCTATGAGTGTTTCATGAGCGTAAAGGTTGGACCTTTACGTGATTATCGTGTATTGGAAGGTCAGATCTATAGGTTAGAGAAGCAGATCTGACCTCAGAAGGTCTTATGAGTATTGTCATGGAAGAAACTCGCCGAGTCCATGAGCGGACTCGACGAGTCGGATCGTGTTGCACCACGATTCGTGATCAGTGGTAGCCCGTTCAGAGAAAGCTTAACTCGACGAGTCGAGTAAGGCCTTAGGAGGATTCAAAGGACACGCATGGACTCGCCGAGTCACTCGTGTGCACTCGACGAGTCTGGTCAAAGTTGGACCGTTGACTGAGGTTGACTTTTAGGGTTTGGTCAACATTTGGTCATTGGACCATTGGAAGGGTAAAATGGTCTTTTTCCCTTCTGGGAAATTATAGGAAGGGATTAGCCTAGCCTATGAGAATCATGTTAATAAGAGATAAATTACTTCATGTGATTAGGCGGAGGCTAGATCAGGGATATCGAGCACGAGAGTTTGTTAGACATCGTACGAGGTGAGTCTTCTCACTATACTTTACCTAGAGTGGTAATTATGTGTGACCGGAAGGTCTTATGTTCTATGACGAGTATGCGATATATGTTTCTATGTGATATGTATGTATGTATGTTATGAGTAGTATGGTATGGACCGGAAGGTCAGTAGTGGATGGACCGGAAGGTCAATAGGGTATAGACCGGAAGGTCGACAGAGTAGGACCGGAAGGTCTACTCAGATTGTGGGACCGGAAGGCCCCTGGGACACATAGACCGGAAGGTCTCGTAGAGCTATAGCCTCGAGTGGCGTATGTGTTGTATGTAGTATTTTGGGGAACTCTTTAAGCATTTATGCTTACCGTGTTATGTGATATGTGTTTCAGGTACCAGTGAGGATCGCGGGAAGGCGCCAGCATGATTGTACACACACTATGTTTTGAGAAGAGCTGCGGTGGATCCTGGATTTTATGAGATGATTTGAAAAACTTTGTTAAATGAATGTTTGATGTTAAACAAGATGATATATGTTTTTTATGGATTAAGAATGAAAATTTGGTTTGAATTTTCACGTTGTTACAAGTCAACTAGATATAAACCTGAAGAAATTAGGTTAAAAGTCAATACCATGATTATAGGGATTATTTTTGGAAGTTATTAATCATATTACTAACCCTTATTTATTTATTTATTTTTGATTGACCCACATTTATGTATACAATAACACAATAATTACTTTAAATACTTGAACCTCTCTCTCTCTCTCTATATATATATATATATATATATATATATATATATATATATATATATATATATATATATATATATATATATATGGTTAGCTTGTAATTGTTTATCACAATCAATATACAAACACATATTTGCGGCTTATTATGCAAGAGTTTTTGTCCTATCCAAAAAAAGTGGAAGAAGATGGGGCATGTTGCAACCTCTTGAGTGTGAAAAAGACTTGAATGTCTTTGTTTTCTGGTTCAAGGCAAAACAAAACAACAAGCATGGTGTTTAGCAAGAAAAAAAATAGTGAATGTGATGAGTATAACAAGCAATATATATTCGTAGACATAATATGCATGTAACAAAAGTAAACATGAATTATTTCATCATTTTTTCTGGAGCATTGACTTTTTGACAATGAAAGTCTCAAAATTGTCCTCATTAGCCACTAAAGTTTTAATCATGTTAAATAGGTCACTGAAGTCATAATTTTGTCACCATTTTAACCACTTGCGAACATGTTTCAATCGGTTTTCTGGTTGACACTTGCCACATGGCTATGATGTGGCTCCTACATGCTCTAAATAAGGAGATTTGATGAAAATGACCATTAAAATTTTGTCATATTTGGAAATCGATTATGTAATCGTGATTTACCTTGTGATTACAGAATTACTTAAACATCCTGATCATTTGCTCTTTTTCCCTCCTCTCCTACTCAACTTGCAGACCATATTTGTTGAATATATGATCGTCTTCCAATTCCTTGTGGAGATACAGACTAAGTGTTTGATGAAATTCATTCACGTGTGTTCTTATCCGTCGGTTGGTACATATACGTTATTAGAGATGAAGGGATGATACATGTGATTACACATGTTTTTGTGGTTACTGTGACAAGTAATAAAGACCATCAGTTGATACATACTACACACATGTTTTAGAGATGATAACATAAAAGGAAATATATTAAGATAACATAAGGGGTACACAAACCACATGTTTAGAAGTTGGTAACATAAGGGAAGGGGTACACAAATTTTGTAACCATTACAAAAAGTCTTCAATAACAATAACAAGAAGTCTTCAAAAAGATTTATGTTTTTCAACAAAGAACTCCTTGTCCTTCTTTCGATTCACAAAGCTTCTAATAACATCTTCCATGGACCTCCTAAAAGCATGGTCACTAGCATTTTCTTTTGTAAGATAAAAAAACGCCAAATCCCTTACTCGAGTAGCATGAGCCCCCTGCAAATCCTTAAACACTTTTTCCCTGCTTTCTTCGTTTGTAGAAATGGAAGTTACTTGATTTTTCTACATTGATTTGCTTTTATTTGATTTCTTTATCTCCTCTGCACAAAACTTCCCAATTTTAGTAATGTACTCTTCATGGGTCAGCTTTGGTTTGTTATTCTTGGAGGTGCACATGGAGGATGAAAAAGACATTACGAGATACAAGAAATATGTAAAGATATAACAAATGTGTTTGTGTTAGTAACGCTATGAATGTGATCATATTATATATACAAGAGCTAAAACAATCATTAAAAGGTCGCAGACAAAAAGTCGAACTTGACTAGGTATTTGATCATATTGTATATATAGAAGATTTAAAACAATCATTAAATTGCAAAATTATATCGAATATATAGACTATGTATGTATGTATGTTATAATGACCATATTCCAGTAAATTGCAAAACATTAATTGATAAACCCTAGGTGTCACTAAACGTCTTTTCGGTGTAAGTATGTCATAATGACCATCTTTTCTCTATCTACAAACAACCAAGATTATCGGTAATTAACCTCATTCTAAGATAAAAACATTTAAACCCCACATTCCTACAAACAACCATGCCGGCTACAATGTGTGACAAATGTGATCTCATTCAACTAATAAGGCAAGACATATTCAAGGATATTGAGACAATGCGTGACAAATGCGATCTCATTCAACTAATAAGGCAAGACATATTCAAGGATATTGAGAGAAACAAAATGGTTATTGTTGGTGATTTTAGTGTTACCAGACATTTTGTGTAATTGAAACTAACATGTGCGCTAAGTGGCTTATTATTTGTAGTCTATGTTATATGTCTGGTGAATACGAAGTGCATGCATATATAAGATCAAATTATAAGTCAGAATGACGGGGGTCAAGAGGGCCACGCCCCTTTGTAGGGTCCTAGGGGCAGCACCCCTAGCGGGATCCAAGGGGCAGAGCCCCTGGCGGTGTCTAGTGGGTAGTTATGGTAAGATTGACAAATCTCGCCAGTTTTAAAAACCATTGATTATGTTATTAATTTGTGATTTATTAAAATAATTTAAAAGATAGAAACCTTAATCTCTCAAAGTGTAAATACGGCTTCTCTATTAAGCCTCCACAAAAGCTTCTCATCTCTCCTTCTTGAACAGACTCAGAATTCTCTGGCAATTTGGCTTACGTTTCTATGCCCAAATTCGTGAGTGTCCTTTTGAATTATTCTAAACTGGATTTCTTGTAACCCGGGCATATGATGGAAATACCAGTTAGAAAAGTGACCGTTAACCACTAGACACCGTTAATATAATATAATCATTACTTCTATCATTCTTGTTATGCTTGAACTATCTATTGACTAAATACACATGAAAGATACCGTTAATATAATATAATCATTACTTCTATCATTCTTGTTATGCTTGAACTATCTATTGACTAAATACACATGAAAGATACCTAGACTAGAGGAAAATCAAATTTGTCTTCTAGGAGCCACATCACAGCCATGTGGCAAGTGGCAACCTGGAAACCGGTTGAAACCTACTCAAGTGGCTAGAGGAAAATCAAATTTGTCTTCTAGGAGCCACATCACAGCCATGTGGCAAGTGGCAACCTGGAAACCGGTTGAAACCTACTCAAGTGGCTAAAAGGCGACAAAATCATGACTACAATGGCCTATTTAACACTTTTATAATCTCTATTTCTTCTTTTTTATGTATCTGAGATGAAATTAGGGTTGCTGAAGAGGATTCTTGATGCATGTTTGTGGTTATGAAGTAAATATTGTTTATTAGTAATGATAACAACATTTAAAGGAAATATTTCACCTCTAAAGTATGAAATATCGGATATAATGTCAACTCAAGTTAGGGTTTATGCCAACACCAATGTCTTAAAGATCCAATTGAAGAACTTAAAGTTTCACGTCTTCCGAAACAAATCTTGAAGAGTTTCAACTTCAACTTCAACTTCATGCTCTTCAATGCCCTGATTTGGTGGAGCATGTCTAATCGTATCAGACAAATATTCAGACATCCTGAACGAAAGTTCTTGCTCCGGTGGGTGGTTGGCATCGCCGGAGCTCCGGTTATCCTCCATCTGAGTAAGTGTTCCGGTGGATGATGACTGAGATAAAGTCCCTGAAGCCACTGTAATTACTTCATCACCTTCATCAATGGTTGACCCAAGTGAACATGTTGACCTTGTAGCAACCGAGTGAAGTGTTTTTGATCTTTCTTTTACTCGTTTACACCAACTGTGAAGTGATTCACGAACACTTTCTGCTATCAATGCTTTCTTACACTTTGAACCCATCTAAAAAAAAATTAAAAAAAAATGAGTGAACAATGTAACAAAAAACTTAAAATTTCTTGATGATTTTATCATTTTATAATATGAACCTGTGTAACAATGACATTCAAAGGAACTGTGCTATAGCTACACCAAAACTGAACAAGAACCCTGCAATCATGACAATGTAACCAAAAAAATAAAGATGTGATTAGAAATAGTTATAACATTTTACATTTGTACCTTTATTATGTTTTTCTTATTAGAAAATAATGCTATGAGAAATCTACTCAATTATAGCACTGAAAATTGCTTTGTATACATTGCTATAATTGGGAAGATTTCTCAAAGTACAATGTTGTAATAAGAAGAAACAAAAGTATGATGCTATAATAAACAAAAGTGGTGAAAGATGAAAAAAATTGTCATTTTTAGGATATTATTTTCAAATTTGTAAAGAGAAACATACCCACAAGTCAGCCTAATACCTATCATTGTGTGATTCTTCATGAAACATGATCGTTGTTTGAATCCCCACTGCAAAAGGTGATTGTTTTATAGAACAACTCATGAGCAATTTTATTTATTTTTTAGGAAAAAACGATAAAATTTCATTAAATGTTGATGCATGAAGAGGGTTTACTTACCACAGACCAGATGAATGTTGCCATCTCAAATGCATTCTGCATTTGGGCAATGTAAAAATTCAGAATCATGGAAACATGATGAGGAGGAGGGTATTAATGTCTTTTGGAAACATGTAAAGAAGTAATAAAAAATTCACCTGAAAGGAGATAAATTGTATCAAACGTAACAATATTTCTGGTTTACCAAACCAAAAAAGCTCATCACTCGGCTTTACTTGAGCTGCTCTAGCAGATGGGCCCCTTGTCTCCACTATTTCAAGAGCTAATAAGGAGACAACATGCTGAAGTTTTGTCCCCACCAACAACACAAGCTTTCAACCAAAAAACACATTAAAAAAAAACATTAAGTATTACAAGATTTATTAATCAATTGAAAAGAAAACACATAGACTTACAATGGCAGGGACAAAAGAAAGCCAGAAGTAGATATTAAGACCTACAATACCCCAAAATCAATCAAAAACATGTTGGAAATTATGTAAAATTTACTTTCAAATGTGAATAAAAAGTTTACCATGAATGTTGATGAAGATGCATAGTATGGCATAAGCCCAAAGTGGCCAACTGCAAAATGATAATTGATAACGAACATTATTTATAACTCAAGAATGTGAGATAACTATGGTTTATATAAGTTTTAAGAACGAAAAAGAAATTTATACCTAATTCCCACAATTTCATAAAATTCATCTTCCATGCTTCGCACCATATAGTTGTGGAAATTATAAGAAAGTGGCAATTTGTGAGTCTGAATACACAACACACCAAGATAGTAAGATGTTTATTTTTGACTTATGGGCCCAATGCAAGAAATAGAAACATACTTTCATTTGTTTGTTTATCGTAAATTCTGCTTTCATTTCTTTTTATTACCTCATTGTACATTGAATTACTTTCTACTTATTAAGGCATTATACTTCGAAAAATCTACACAATTATAGAATTTTACTTTGTATTTGGATGATGTTGCTATAACTTGGTAGATTTTTCAAAGTATAATGTTGTTACGAGGATGAAACGAAATTAAAATGATATAATAAACAAATCAATGAAATTACATTCCTGTTTCTTGCATTTAACTCGTGACTTAATGCAGAAAGAACGACTTAATGGAAATAAGAAAGAAACAGAGCCAAAGTCAAATACCCACGGTGATGAAACCCAACCGCAAAGCCGCATAATCCGACTTTTGCATTGGACTTTTGAATTGTCTTAGAAAACATAGCTGTAATAACAAACAACAACACATAAAAACACTTGGTGATTCAATTTGAAAAGAAAAATTCATCTAATTGCATGATCTTGAAATTTAAACGTGTTAAAAATGTGTTGGATAATCCATACCATCCAAATAAGAATCCGGCTCTTGCTCCATGGATGTGTTGCATGATGTTTAATGAAAGTGACTTGGCGCCTCATCACCTTTATCTTCCTCACTATAAACATACACCAAAACAAATAAGCAAACAAAGTGTTGTACCCATTAAGTCTTTTTCTTTTCTAGAATAGAAATAAACCGTCTCAACGAGACTAAATGACCATTTATCCTTACATTCCAAAAATCAAATTTCACAATATTCATGTATAGTTGTCCAATTTAAGTATTTAACCCTTAAGCCTATTAAGTCAGAAAGAAACAACCTCTCAATACATATGGATTTTTTTAGAAAGAACAACTAAAAATAGAATGTTAGAGAAATGAAATTTTCCCCATTAAGTCCTAACTTTTCTAAATATTATTTATCAAGCATGAAATGTAGAAGAAAACCTTGCAAGTTTTCGGCTGCCAATAGGCTTGCTTGATATTCCCATTTCCTCCAGCTGTATATCTGCATATAAAACATGCCCATTAACAACCTCTATGGGGCTATTTTAGATGATGAAGATGAGGAGGGCATTCACGTCTTTTGCACAGACAAAACACCAGTCTCAGTCCAATGCATGCCAAATGCAGTAGATAGATAATATACCCTAATCATGGCCAAACCAACAGACACACAACTATATAAAACATGAGTGATCCCAAGAACAAACAAGAATCTGTGAAGTTGCTCAAGACCTTCATAAGAAACAAACGGTTCTCTCCCCTACAAAATAAAAATCAAAATATGTTCACTAACTTTACCTTCATAAATCATAACAATGAAGAAATGAGGCACAATTTTTTTACCTCACCACACTGATGAAAATGAGTATTAAGCCCTTCTGGAGGTGTTTCAGACTCGTTTGAAAAGGAAGTGAATCTTGAGAAAATTACAATTTTATCCATCTCAAAATCTTCTTTGGAGCAAAGGAAGAATTTACTACTAAAGAGTGAGGAATCCACACAAATCTGTGAAATCACCCTTGCCCATTGCCCCAATAACAAAGATATGAGTCCAAGAAGCATAAGTTCTGTATCAAAATTAAAGATTTTTATACAAGATTATTCAACTACCATCAGACATATCTTAAATGCAATATTTTTTTTGCTGAAAGCTTAAATAATCAAAACATTCAATATTGTTTTATGAGAATCCATAAAACTGTCGCATTGCTTTTTCAATCCAAAGATGATCCCCCAAAACATGATTTGCTCAACCCAAAATGAAATCACATTAATATACATAACAAATAAGTACAAATTGAACTTGAAATTATAAAACATAACTATTTGATGACAAACTTGTGGCTAACCTTCTTTGATCTTTTCTAAAGAAGCTAACAGCGCCTTTCTCCTTGTCTTCTGCAACCACTGCATACCACGAATCTCACAAATCATTCAAAATTTCAACAGAAAATCTAAACAAAAAATGGAAAAACACAAAAATTACCCTCCCAAATCTGTAAATCGATCTTTGAACCAACAAGCAAGCAAAAACCATGAAAGTAATAGTTGTAGCAACAGCCCATGTTGGTGTTTCAGCTAAAGATCTCCCATGCCTGATAAGTTCTTCCTCCATTTTCACTTTCTTGCATCAAAAAGAAACTTTTCCCTTCACTCTCTCAAGAAAGACGACAACTTTCAGAGTATTTTCAAGTGGGGTTTCTCTCGAAATGCTGCGCATTTCGCGGTTTAACGTGGGTGTTATTTAAATAATAAGAAACCGATCTTGGAATCTTTTGAAACAGAGGGAGAGTGATCTCTCTTTCTTTAGAACTTGCAGTTGGTCTACACAAATTATGCTAAAGTTTAGGCTGTATGTGTATGTGTGCATTGTGGGGTGTAATTTGATGGGTTTATTAATGGAGAAAAATACGTTTCGAACTCCAACTGCATTGGAAGTGATGAGCTCACATTTGCTCTTGTTCCTTCAAACCCTACCTGCCCACATGCCATTAAACTTGTATATCAAAAGAAAACAAACACAATTTAATGTGTAAAACTTAGAAATATAATTTTTATTTTTTGTATATATGATTACGTTCGAGTTATATACAAATTTTATAATTTTCTTTTGTGGGTCTTCTCTGTCTTTCTCATGGAAGGTTACGTTCGAGAATCTTACCGTGGTTTGTGTTTTGAAGTGGATATGCATGTGCAGATCCACCCCCCTGGATTCTCTGCCCTGCCTTTTACAAGTATTAGCACCCATTTGTGTTGTTTAATTCTATGAAAAGTAGGGAAAGCAAAAGTTTGCGTAAAAAAAAAAAAAAAAAAAGTTGACTCAGAGGATCACCGTTAAACTCCTGAAAAGAAAGTTATTACTTATTTAACTACTGATCTAATTTAAATTTTAGAAAAAAAAAAACTCTTTTAACAAATAAATATCTGATCTTGACAAATTAGATCCTAAATTCTGAACTTTTGGTCATTTTGACCGTTTCGACCCCTATACCTGGGTTATCTGGTCCTGTCAACGTGGCACCCCACATGGTTTAAGTGGAGATAAAATAACTCGATTTAGCCATTAATTTTTTTATCATTTTAAATTAGATCTCGAACTCTAAAAAAGTAATTTCTTTTAATAAAAGTAAACTTAGTTTTGTGTTTTTATTATATATATATATATATATATATATATATATATATATATATATATATATATATATTATTTTTTAGTTAAAACTAAGCTTATTTTTAAGTTTTTTTCGTTGTTGTTGTTGTTGTTATTATTATTATTATTATTTAGTTTTTTCGTTTTATTTTTCATCAATTTGATAACCTTTTAAAAAAAACCGTAAAGTATATAAATATATTATAGTATATTAAAGTTTTGGCTTTTGAGTTTGGTCATATATGAGTTTTTTTTTTTTTTTTTTTTTTTTTTTTTTTTAATTCAATTCAAGTAATATCACTATTTCTCCCATTTTTATATTTTTCTTTTCTAAAAATATGATTTTTTTTGGAAAAGAATAAACCGTTATAAAACTTCAATAAAAGACCAAATATATATAAAAAAAAATACAAACTCAAAAGAATAGAATATATATATATATATATATATATATATATATATATATATATATATATATATATAGAGAGAGAGAGAGAGAGAGAGAGAGCTAGGTTCAAATGTTTTAACTAAGTATTGTGTTATTGTATGCATAAATGTGAGCCAATTAAAATTAAATAATTTAATAAATAAATTAGGGTAATTTAATTTGTTTAGTAACTTCCAAAATTAATCCTTATAATCATGGTATTGACCTAATCTCTCCAATTTAAATCTCGTTCCCCTCTTTATCTAAAAGCCAAATCTTGGCCGATCTGCAAAATTAGAATGGACTACAAAATCGATCTTGAGTTCTACAAAAATCGATTGCCATCGCCATCTCCAACTCCAGCAGGTCACCGACTCCACCAGTGCCCCCTACCCCTACCATCATCGCTTTATCAAAGAGCCCCACGCCTCCACCCCTATGTGGCTTCATCGACTCTCGTTCCATGTTTTTTGCTTCTGGTTTGTGTATCGTCCTTTTGACCGATCGGGCACAGGGGAAAGAACGGGACGAAAGCTGTGGGAGATCGATGACATAAATTGTGGGGCACCGGCCGACCGACTATCACCGGCGTTTTCTTTCTTTTCTTTCTGGCCCGATCAGCAGCCACACGAATGGGGAAGGCAAAGAAGATCGTTGATCTCCAAGGGGGTGTTTTAGGTGGTTTAATCGACTGAATCAGATGGAGAGGAGGGTGAAGCGAGGGCAGCAAGGGTTGATTAACAACTCTCTGCTTACTCTCTTCTGATTCTAACAGCGAGGGGTGAGGCTAGAAGAGGGTCCGACGATAGGTGGGGCTTCGGTGGCATTGGCTCGACGGAAGAATACGTCGTTGAAGCTCTCAACAAACGGATTTGTCTATTCCGCCTGAAGGTTCAGGTTTCTTTATATTCTTATACTTCTTCAAACATGGTTCGTCTCCCTTTGTTTATAAGTACCTTTTTTTTTCCTATTTGATTTTGTTGATTCAAGTTAGTTCAGTCGTACTTATATGATGTTAGTGTTTCGAGATGTCGTTCCTGTTTGTCTGTATTACATTTATGTCTAATGTACTGCTTTTCGTTGGGGATTCAATTGAATTTTGGGAATTAGGGTTTTTAGAAATTCGGATTGACATAATTTCTTCTGGAATTAGATAATGTGGATTTGTTAAAGCAATTAGATAAGTACATACTGTCTTTCATTTAGTCCTTCTGCAATCGTTATTGAGGATTAGATATGAGGACTATAGTTAGATTAAAATTATGTATAGATCTATCTCAGGTATGCTATTAGATACGTACCTCGAACAAGTACATCTTATGAATGAATTAGAACAAACAATCAAGTAAAATTAAAACCTTGTTGCTTTTGAATGGAATAAAGTGCAGGGAAGGACAGAGGAATAAAGTGAGAGAGAGTTTCTTTCTCCAGAAAAGAGAAGGAAGAACAGGGAAGGCTTTGGTTGCTTCATTTGGCAGAAAAGAGAAGGAAGAACAATGGTGATGATCTCTTCTTTGATTGGGTATGTTTCTTTTGATTGAGTTTTACTAGTTAAATAGATAAAAAAAAATCAATTATCTTGATGATCTTATTGTATAGTTGTGAATTTTGATAGACATGGAGTACATTGTGATCTAAGGGAAAGAAAACATAAACGTGTGGTACAATTCTTGAGATTGACATGAAGAAGATAAAAAGAATCATGAATTCCAATTCTGTTGGAATGAAATCATGAATTCCAACTCTGTTGGAATGAAATCATGAATTCCAATTCTGTTGGAATCTAAACTACAATTTGGTCTTGTTTTGATAGAAGTTGATGCTTGAAGAACGGACCGCAAATTTGAAAGTGATTCTAAGCATTCTCAGAGAATATTATTCTTACATGATTTGATTCATGGCAGTTATTTTCGTTAAATGTATAATTTCATGGATGATCAAGGAAAGAACTATTATTCTGATAGAATAATCTACAATAGAATGATAGGAGTATATATAATAAAATATTCTGCTAGAATATTAAGGTCGAATAATATACATATTTTTATTTGTTATTAGTGAGTATTTCATTGTCATAGACTATTATATAAAGTTTTTACTTTTTTAAGAATGTAATGAAAAATTTGAAGTTGTATCCAAAAATGTGTTATTAGTCGGTGTTGACATTCTCATAGAATATCATTCTAATAAAAATATGTATCCTGAAATTTGTAGAGAATTTGATTCTAACAGAATAAAATCGGATTTAATTATAAAAATTACGTTATAATTAAAATTAAAGTAATTAAAAAATTAGAATTTTAAAATCAAGAGAGTTAATTATCCCCAAAAATATAGAATTTTCCTTTTTTAAATTTATCTCAATTGTCTAAAATACCCTTAGAATGAAATTAGATGGTATTTTTCAATTATCTTTAATTTAATAATATATATTAATCACTTTCTTAAATTAAGTAAAATGATTGGCCCACATTTATGCATACAATAACACAATAATTAGTTTAAATAGAATAACCTAAGCCTATATATATATATATATATATATATATATATATATAGAGAGAGAGAGAGAGAAGAAAAAGTTAGACGAAATTTATTTATTCGATCTTAACTAATTGTTAGAATTTATATAAATTCAATCTTAACTAATTATTAGACTTGATATAAGTAAATATTAAATATGGTTATACATGATAATCCATAATATAGGTTTTTAAATTCTTAAAAAGTGCATGTACTTACAACATTCAATTATATTTTTTATTTAAAATTGAAAAAATATCATAAATGGTCCCTGTGGTTTCCCAAAATCTGAAGTTTAGTCCATGTGGTTTAAAAACGTCATAGATGGTCCCTGTGCTTTCAAAACTTTTGACGATTGGTCCTTATTGCTAATTCTGTTATATTTGTCCGTTAACTAAAAGACATTTTCGTCTTTTCACGATCACAGAGACCATTTATGAAGTTTTTCTCTTATTTAATAATAATAATAATATTATTATTATTATTATTATTATTATTATTATTATTTATTAAGGGTCTCTCTCTCTCTCTCTCTCTCTCTCTCTCTCCATGACCATCATCAACCTCCCAAGATCCACACAACCATCGCCACCTTCTACCATCATGAATCACCTTATTCCTCCATTCACCATCACCGAACACCGTTCCCAGCTCCACAATCTCCATTCCAGCCACCGCTTCACCAAGACCCACCTTCACCATTTCACCACCAAAACCACCACCCATCACCACCCTTATTTCCTCAAAACTTCCAGCCACCTTACCCTACAGTCCTACTCCATAAACCCATAGAAATTGACCTTCAAACAAACCTTCGCAGCTTTCTAATTCCAGTCTCCATTCACTTACCTTCATCAACTTCTTCTCTCCTCTTCATCCCCCTACACCACCCACACAAACATCACTACCCAACGTCACCTTCAATCACCAAAGACCTCCTATATTCCTCCATTATCATCATCCCTAATAGCTGCAAATGTAAAAAATAAAAGATAAAAGAAGAGGCTAGTCTATTCAGAAAGGAGAAAAAGGAGAACTGTGATCGAGATTAGAAGAAGGAGAAGGAGGATGCGACGTTGGGTGACTGTGTTTGTCGATCGGATTCTATGAATCGAAGGGGGGTCCGATTTCTAGTTTGATACACAATTTTAGTTCAAAAGTCTTTTATCAAAATAAAGATAATTGGTTAATATATTGTATAAAATTATATACCTGATGTTTACTATGACCAACGGAGTCATTATCATCGGGAGATGTCGACTCTGTGGACCGTTTACCGGAGGTGGTATTTTCCGGCGACCCTGTGTAAGTAGAGGTGAACGCTTTCCCACCGAATTCCCTCTCGCAAGTTTCAACTGTCATTTGTAGACCACTCTCCATTCCAGCAAAAGTCGCACTCCCACTTACACTCTGGTCCTTGCAGCTGCTCCACTCATGCGCCACCGCGGCACCACTGCGAGCCACCCACTGGTCCATAAAACCTGACTGATCACCACTGCACGACGTCACCCGAGTGGAACCCGGAACCATGGAGCCATTAGCAGCTGACCGCAGCGTTTGCAGATGGGTGTTGGAGCTTGGCACCAACGCGTCCATGGCCATGGTTACTGACGCGCTGGCGGATCCGGTGGCAAGGTTCGAGGTCTGGTTTTCTAGCCATGGAACCAGGTCATCGACGTAGAACTCCATTTGGGATTTGTCGTAGGGGAGGAAGGTGGCTTGGTTGACTATTTCCTCAAGAGAGGGAAACAAATGAGGGGGAAGCAGGCGTCAAAGAGAGAGAGAGAGAGAGAGAGAGAGAGAGAGAGAGAGAGAGAGAGAGAGAGAGAGACCCCTTTGTAAATAAGAGAAAAACTTCATAAATGGTCCCTGTGATCGTGAAAAGACGAAAATGCCCTTTAGTTAACGGACAAATTTAACGGAGTTAGCAATAAGGACCAATCGTCAAAAGTTTTGAAAGCACAGGGACCATCTATGGCGTTTTTAAACCACAGGGACTAAACTTCAGATTTTGGGAAACCACAGGGACCATTTATGATGTTTTTTCTTTAAAATTAAATTACATATTAAATTTTCTGTAACAACTAATTTTGACAACCATTATAAATTGTTTGTGATAGATTTATGATAAATAGATTTACATATAAATGATTATTTATTTATTATTTTCGGTGTAAACTTAATGTCAACATGAATAAATATATTTACCCCCACTTAGGCCACATAGGCAGGGAAATCGGCTACCCGGGTGCATGAGGTTGGAATGGCCAAAACGAACAAAAGTTCATACTTTAGGGTTTAATTTAACATAATTAGATGTTTAGTGGCTAAATCTAGTTAAAATCGAGATTTCGATGGTCATTTGAATCAAAACAAAAATATTTTAATTTTATTTTTACATATTTACCAAATATGTAAAAGATTTAAAATGTCCGCCAAACGTTCCAAATCACTACTTAAGTTATTTTTAAAAGAAATATATATTATGTAAATCACTTTTTTTTGTCAATTCTACTTTTTATTTTACAGGTCGAAGGTGACGTGTTCATTTGTTTATATGGCGTTGGCGTGACAATAGTGGCATTGCCATATCTTAGAACGTTGTTTTGAGATAGATTTTTTTTCAACGCTTCATTACTTTTACCATATTCCACATCATTCACCTTACATCTACATTCCACACTATTCATTTAGACCTTAGGTTGGCAGGTTTGATCATCACGCCACCCCTCAACCACCCTCTTCCACTTCAACACCATCTTCACACTATAACATGAGGGTGTGGTCATCACAATAAGAGGAAATGGAGAAGGAGGAGAGAAGAATAGATGAGAGAGAAATAAGCGATCGTGGTCAGTTGTAAATGGGTCATTATGCTCGACTTCACCTCAGCGTCATGGTTGAGAGGGGCAGTGTTTACACCGTGATGGTGCTCTATCTTAGCATCACACCATAGATGTGTCACTTACACCATGTAACCTTATGGCCATCTCACTGCTCCATTATCCATCTATTAAAAGTTCAAAACCAACTAACTAGACCATTAACCACCAAGATATGATTCACAACCACCATTTAACACTCACATAATTTTATGAGTTATTTTTACTTAAGAGGTTTATTTATGTATAATTACATACAATTAGTAACAATCACAAGCTTATGGTGTAGCTTGACCAATTCCAAAGGCATGGCGATGAATATAATCAAGAACCCCACAATATTTACAAGGTATGACAATAGCCTTGTAATATGATGTTTTTTAAACAAAATCCCATTAAAACTTTGGTAAGTGTTGGAGGGATTAATATCTAAATTAAGTAACAACTAATTATATCACTTTAATTATTAACTTTATGAAAAAAAATGGAAAAGTAAGCTCACTGTTAAAGACACAAAAAAACAAATTGGACGACAGTGGCGAAACGAGATGGAATAAATACGTCCCTTGAAATGTAAATATCTTCTTTTGGCGTCTTTGTTTAAATCGACTTCCTTTCATAATGAACTTTGTCGAGAAGGCATTGATATTCCTATGGTTCTTTGTCCTGAGTGTTCGTTGCAGTCAAAATATTTACTTCACTTGTTTGGTCAATGTGATTGTTGTGAGGACTTGGAATGCCCTATCTAGTTTGTTGGAGCTTTCTTTCACTACGCATTTGGGTGTTTTAGATGTTATGATTAGGCTGGACTCTACATATGCCCTTGGTTAAGAAGAATGCATTGATTGCTATTGTGATGACGACATATTGGGTGCTTTGGAAGGTTAGGAAAAAAGGTGGTGTTCAACAATAACATTCAGAAATGAGAGTTGGTTTTCTATTTTATTGTTGATTATTAGTTTATACCTTTGGTTTTGATGGATATTATGCAAAACATGTAACCCTATGTGTGTATGCAACCCTATAAAATTTGATCTATGTTTTATCTAATTGAACATACAACTTGAACAACAAAATAGAAAAACCCTAGCTACTAGCATATATTCAAAATAAACAAAATAAGGGTTAAAGTAATCATACCTTGATTGTTATGTAGTAATAACAATCCAAATACTTGTGTTGATGAAGCCTTGAGAGCAAGCGTCACAAATGTCACGCCTCTAGTGGTTCACACCCAACACTAGCAATAGAGAATGATTGAGAAGGAGGAGAGAGACTTCAAATTTTTGGCTAGCTCTTCAAGAGATTCAGTGGCCGAAAATTAGAGGGTTTAGGTTGTTTATATAGTGCAGTCGGAAAACCCTAGATAAACCCTAATTCAAGATATCCTTAAACCGGGTAGTTATCCACCTTCCTGTTTATCCACCAAAGACCATTCTAGAACTCCTTAATCTCCAAGAAATCGTCCATGCATTCATGGAGGGTTCTAAATTGCCTCTTGCTCAACTATTGAACAATTGCACTTCAATCCCTGCATTTGTAATTAATTTTTCTAATCCTAAAATTAATTCCAATTGATTTCTGATTAAATATTAATTAAATATTATTATTTCTAATTAGTATATTATTTTCATAATATATTAATAAATCATTTATTTCAATTTATTAATTAAATAATAAATCAACCTCTTTCTCCAAAATCATCATTTCTAGTTGCTAGTCTTGAGGGCAACCCAAAAGAACTGTGCTACTATCAATTTAAGTATATACAGATTATAGTTATGAGCTTAGACACCTAATTCAACAGGTTTACTGATAGGAACCAAAAGGTTAACGTTAGTTGGATTTTTTCGGCTTCAAATCCCCTTGAACACCTTGTAAATGTGTGCTAACTCGTTGCTACTTTTTTGATTTTTAATATATAACCATTTAGTCGTTCAAAAAAAGAGGGAAAAGTTAATTAGTTATGGGTTTTTTTATGCCTAAGTTGACAAGAAAATAGCATAGGATGAAAAGAAAAAAAATCGTAGAGTATGGAAAGAAAGAAGAAGATTTAGGTCCTAAGAGAATATATCATGTGCTTGTTGAGAACCACACATTTTTGTTTTCAGGTAGGCTTTGATAAACAATAAACCCTAATTAATGTATGGATAACTTATGTTATGTTCATGTGAATGGTTGGGCATTAATTATACAACATATTTAGACAAACCCACATGGAAATTAGGAGGACTATGAATCCAATTGTTTTATTAAAGGGTTAATGCCATAATATAACGTCATAGGTGTCCGGTTTTTAAACATTTGCTTCATTATCTATTTTTAAAATAGATTGTGACAGGTCATTGAACTTTAAACATCTACTATAATAAATGAAAATCTTTTTGCCACATGTTACATTCTCATTGATTTGGCCACATGTCATTTTGAGGTTATTTTCAATTAAATTTTTTCCACGTGACATTTTGTGGGTTTTCCATTTTATTAAATTTCACATAATATTTAAATGTAATAATTGCAATAAATGTAATAATAAATGCATATCAATTTCAATAATTGACTTTCTTTATAATTTAAACATTTCTAAATTAAAACTTCATTAGTTTTTTTATCTAAATTATTTGTTTAAATTTAAAAGAGAAAAAACACTTTAATTTTAATAATTGAATATTTTTTTTATAAATTCAAACATTTTCAAATGTTTAGAATTTTCATATTTTTTTTTAAATAAACACATGTAATATATGGGCCTTACACGTAGTTATCTAATAGATACACTATGATATTTTCTCCCAAATATATCATGATTTGTTTTCCCGATTTAACAGGTAAGACAGATGGTGTGGCATATATGGTCCATCATCGTCCATATGGTTTTCTTTTATTTTTCTAAAATAAAATAATATTATCTTATCTTATCGTTTATTTATATTTATAATATTATTAGTTAATAAATAATCTCTTGAATGAATTTGTTCATCACTTCTTATGAGATGTGATTTTCACATAACACAAACACTCACATGTTCATCAATAAGAAGAACAACCCTTTGTCTTCTCCTACACATATGATATGTCGGAACCAATAAATCGAAAACTTCCATGGATACATTGAAGATTCCATGTTGGGTAAGGACAATGAAGTTTAGATGATGATCGCTGACGGTATGACATTAAGTTTTTTGTTTCTAGGTTTAGGTTTCTATTAGAAAGGTGTTTGAGATTGAGTTTGAAAAATGATTATTGACTTATTAGTTTTCCTAAAAAAACTTACAAAACATGTTTGAAAAATAGAAAAATGTTTTTGAAAGCAAATTTTTAACACCGGCAAAAAGACTTTTTAAAAAGTCACCCCTAATTTTTGAAAAATGGCTCATAACTTCTTCACGTAAAATAAGTATAATATTTTTCTAAAAAAAATCCGAACACTTTTTTTTTTAAATGGTTTATCAACTTATAGCTTATTCCCACCACATAATCTAATCCAAACATTTTTTTAGAAACTTGTTTTTATCACCAAATAAGCTAATAAACACTTTTTATCAAAAAATGCTTATTGAGTTAAATAACCAATCCCAAACCCAACCTAGGTTTTGCCTCAAAAATCTCTATAAAATCGTTGTATAAATCTAGTGGAAACTCTATAAACGAACATTAAGCATCACCAACACCCAACATACCATTCAAACTCAAAAGTCGATAACATAATCAACAAAAAAACGAAAACATGGTTATTGTGATGGGTGGTATGCATAATTTAGACCATTTCACATATATGCAATGGATTTTTCCCATGAGAACAACCAACATCAACTTCATTGAGAAGATTATTAGTCTTATTACAAAGAGATTTCATGATTAAAGTAAACAAGTCTATGATGACAACAACTATCCACCCAACACCAAATGGGAAACTAAAACTTTTTATATCATTTCCCCCAAATTTCCACCTCCGGTGAGTTCCTAATCAGAAAATTTAACGATTCCAAAGGGAACATCTACCAGGCGCATGTAAGATTATGCTATTTTTTTTTTTATCACAAACACAAACCCCAAAAGCCAAATCAAGCCACTGAAATTAGAAAATAATTATTTTTATTTTTTAGATACGTGGCGGCTGTTGGTGGCTAGAAACAGGGTTGTTATGAACAGAAGTAGAGTCGGTATTTTTCAAAGAAAGGTTTGCAAATTGGGAATCGAGTCTTTCCCGACTGGCGGTTCTCCGGTGGTGGCTTTGTGGTGGTTGTGGTTGTTGTTGGTGGTGATACAAGGCTCGTAGTCTTCCAAGTTCTCTCTCCAAAACTTCATGCTCCACTAAAAAAATAAATCATTTTTAGTTTTCGTATATGGAAATTTTCAACATAAAAAGTTAAATAAGTTAATCTTGAAATGGAATGGAAAATGGAAATGGAATGAGTCATTACATTCCATGGTCATGATTTTATATCGTTAAATTTAACGATTTAAAAAGTTCATAATTGTAGTTATTTTACTCTTTACTCTTTAACAAGATAGTTGGTTACCCAAATTAGCAAAAATGAGATAAGTGGAAACTGATGCATCATATAGAAACTTACAACACTTAATAAGTTGCTCTTGAGCCAAATTCTCCAATCGTTGTTTCAGTGCCTTGTTCTCCATGCTCAAAATAAGACTTTGCTGGTTTAAGAATTCCAGCTCAGCTGACACCTCAGATCCATCTGCCTGAAATCACAGCATCCACAAGAATAAAGAATCCTTCAAAAGTTTTTTCTTTTTTTTCCTCAAATCCTAATCTTAATCTTACCTGTAAAGCCTGTACATTCCTTTCCAGCTCAGCAATATACTGAAGCTTCCTCACCCGTGATCTTTGAGCAAACTGCCTGCATCCAAAAGATGATAAATTTCCACAAACATGAAAAAGTTTCAAACTTTATAAAAGTTTCAACAACATAAACAGATATAATCATATCCTTACTGTTTGGCACGTTTTGTATCAGTTTCTGAAAAATCTTTTCTTTCATGGTTTGCATCTTCAGATGAATCATGTGGGCCCGATTCAACTCCATCTTGTTTTTCCCTAATTGATGAAACAATCCCACGAATCTCATTTGAAGCACCCAATGATACTGATCTTTGAAGACCATTTTGTGGTGAAGGTGAATCCCATGCCCTTGACTTAGGATTCATATTCATCAAAGGATTATTTGGGACACTTCTAGCATCTTTATAAAAATCAAAATCGTGGGACCCCCATGAAGGAACAGAAATTAAGTTTCTTATCTTGTGTTCATCTTTTACACCGTATTCTACATTAACAGAATTGGCTGCTTCCAGATATGTAAAAGAGTCACTTGATGAACGTCTATGGCCTCTTTGGACAGATGTTTCTGGTTCATTAAGAAGCTCATCAAGCCAAGAAGGTTGTTCTTCAATTAGAAGGCTTTCAGATGAAGCACGTTGATGGTGTGAATTGACATCTCTGTACTTTGGTATTCCTTTTGGTCCAATTGCAGGATTTGAGATGTAATCAGAATATGATGGAGGAGTGGTTGGAAATGGACATTTAGGGGGGAGTAAAGAGTGTCTTCCATTGTACACCATGTTTCTTGTTGTTGATGGACCTCTAGAGTTTGCCATATCCAAATCACAAACCCTGCAAAAGCATAAAACAAATGTCATCCTATGATTATAAACAAATGGAGTCTGGTTTATTTTCATAATTACATGTCTAATTCTTGACGATTTTGCTACTTCAAGATTTCAAATAGAAGAACAGTTATAACCATGGATAACCCTAATAAGCTATACCATCAGCTGAGCATGAAACCAATAGTACAATCTGGAGCAGCTTCAAGATTTCAAACTTAGTCAAAGGCAAACACTCATACAATAATCAAAACCGGCGACAAGAATCTTTGTCACAACAAAACGGCAATTCGAATCTATTTACAATCATAAGATTCATCCCCTTCGTGAAATCTTACCCCGAGGCTATGTATGGTCTTCTTCTCCGATAATCAAATTAAACTATCTAAAAACTCGAATTTCGATAACTAATCCATCGTTTATATTTTCTGAATAGACTGGGTGATCTCCGAGCTCGAACTAAGGCAGAAAGTAAGAAACAGGTATTTCGAGAGAATTTAAACTGAGTTTTACCTTTAATTTACGCAGTGAAGATCTTGAAATGCAATGTGATTTACATGGAAACAGAGATTGAGAAAGGAATCGAAGTGCTGGCCCTTCTCGCTGCTTCTAGTTTTCCATTTTTAGGGTTTTCTTCATCTTGGAAGATCACTTTTTGCCCCCCGTTTTTGCGTTGTGCTGTCTTTCGAATCTTTTCAATTGTCGTTGACGTGGCTTGGGTTGTTTATCGATGATTAAGTTCCTCACTTTTAATCTCGTGTGATTGTGGTTTGGTCATAGATCGATTTTTAGATTTTTGGAAAAAGAAATTAAATATCTTCTATATTTCTTCCTATACATCCTTCTATTTATCTTAAATAATAACATGTCACACAAATATATTAAAATATTATTAGTTTCATTAAACACGACACATATCTTCATCCTTCTATCTATCTTAAATGATATCATGTCACACAAATATATTAAAATATTATTAGTTTCATTAAACATGACACATATCTTCATCCTTCTATCTATCTTAAATGATAACATGTCACACAAATGTATTAAAATATTATTAGTTTCATTAAACATGACACATATCTTCATTTAAAATGAATAGGAAGATGTGTAAGAAGAACATTGTAACACTCCAATTCAGGTATTACCACAAAAGCCCTTGAAGTTATTAACTATTGCATTTTATGTCCCTTAAGTACGTTGGGCGTACTTCATAAGTACGCTTAGCGTACCATGCATAAATGATCGCGGAGGGTCAGCACGTACGCTCGACGTACCAAGAGTACGCGGGGCGTACGTGACAAATATGCAAACCCTAATTTTCGGACTTGAGACCTATATAAGCATCCTTATCTTATTTGAGCTCCACCCTAATCAGCCTCATTCACCGTCAAACGTCCCTAAAAACCCTAGAATCATTTGAGAGTGTGTTTTGAGCTTAAGGAGTGCATTTGTGGCCATTTTAGTGTCCATTCAAGAAGGAGGAGTTGCTAAGCAAGCTTGGAGTGGCTTTGGGCTTCAAGAATCTGCATTTAGTTCACATTGAGGAGCTTCTAGAGGTATAAAGTTTTGATTTTGCCATCTTATTCATTAGATCTAGCTAGGGTTTTCTATTTTGTCCATTTAGTTGGTTTTTGACCTCCTCTTGAGAGTTGAGCAACTCTAGAGGCTGAAAAGGCTAGATCTGAAGTCCTTTGGTTCATTCATAGCATAAAAAATGAAGTCTTGATGGGTGTTTTGACCTCATGCATGGATTAAGACCCTTTTAAAGGTCTTAATGGGTTGTTGGGAACATATGGGACATGCAAAGGCATAAAGTTGCCAACTTTATGCCCTAGGACGTCTTAATGAGCTCAGATCTGATTATTTGGACGTGAGAAAATCAAGTATTAAACACTTAATGGAAGAAAGTGATTAATATGTTAGTACGCTGGGTGTAACTTAGCGTACGCAGCGCGTACGGACCAGGGACCCAGTACGCTGCGCGTACCAGGGTGGTACGCAAGGCGTACGCACAGCAGATGGACTTGGACTTGTTTTGGGCTTGTAAGCTTTTGGGCCTTGATTAGTCATTGGGCCTGGTCCTGTTTTGGATTGGTAGGCCAACTTATCTGTTTTGGGTCATGGTTTCTATGGTTGGGCTTTATTGGGCCATGAGGCCCATTAATGATATTGGACATGGACTTTGGGCCCAGCAAAGGAAGACTTTTGGGCCATTGTGATAGGACTTGGGGTTTGGATTCTTCAATTGGATTGTGTTCAGTCTTAACCTTGAGTAATGTTATTATTGTTCAGCACGGGTGGTTACAGACTATTAGGATAGCAGCTTTTAGATTTAGCAGACAAAGGTGAGTCTTTTCACTATACCAATGGGTCTAAGGCACCAAGGCCGACCCATTTTATGTTACGTGGATGGTTGATTGATTATGCGTTATGTTAGTATGACATTTGCATGGAAGACCACGTGGGGGTTCCCGTGACATTTGGTATAAGACCTTGGAGGGTTTCTTTGGCATCCTTGTATATCTGCTTGTATAGTTTGCATTATGTCTTGTTTGGTAGTTAAGACCTTGTGGGGGTTCCCAAGGCAGGAAGACCTTGTGGGGGTTCCCAAGGTAGGAAGACCATGTGGGGGTTTCCATGGCAGATAAGACCACGTGGGGGTTCCCGTGGCATTAGGTGTAAGACACTGGAGGGTTTTCATGGCTTCCTTATATGTTGTATGCATGACTTATGTGATATGTGTAGCTTTATAGCTAATATGATATGTGTTATGTGGATTGTGTGTGGGGTATGCTCTGGGGGACTCACTAAGCATTAGCTTACAGTTTGTGGATTTGTTTCAGGTACATCTGAGCCAAGGGCAAGGGCAATGCTTGATAGCGCAGCGTGCACTCTCACTCGGGCATTTATTGGGACACTCTGATATTTTAAAATAACGTTGTATTTGATATGATTTTGAAAACAATTGTAACTGGTTTTTGTGGATGATGGAAATGTGTTTTGGATAATTAAAAATGAAAATTTTCTTTTGAAAAATTGGGTCGTTACAAAAATATAAAAGGATATTTAATTTCTCTTTTTGAAATTGTATTGTTTGGCTTTTGTATTTTTGGTTTGTTGTTCGATTTCTATTTGGTTCGATTCGATGTATAAACCGCAATAGGTATGATGCACTTTTATATATTAGAGTAGTTTTAAAATCGCAAAAACAATGGATTTTAGTTATATTTCTTAGGTATATAATAAGTATAACACAAACATATAAAGCAACTTTGTAGCGAATTAGTGTCTAAAATGCTAGAAAACATTGAAACTATGACTACAACATAATTAAGATAGACTTAAAGTAATATTTTTATGTTCAGAGCAAATGTAAAGCGATTTTGTGGCGAGTTAGGAACTTAGGGGCTGTTTGGTACGGTGAAATAAAATCAGAGAAATGGAATTAATTCCATTTCCCTTGTTTGTTTAACCCTAAAAATAAGGAATAGAGAAATAATTTGATTCTCTTTCCCTGTTTGTGATGCGGGTTATACAAATGGTGAAGGTTTTTTAACACCTTATCGCGGACAACGTTGCCATCTTAATGATTGGTCTCGACCACCTACAAATGCTAAAGAGTTATATAACATGAGACACTTATCAGCAAGGAACGTAATAGAACGATGTTTTGGATTGATCAAATCTAGATGGACTATTTTACGTGATAATGCATACCATCCAATGGAATCTATGCCACGCATAATCATTGCATGTTGTTTGATGCATAATTTCATACGTGCAACCATGACTGAAGACCCCCTTGATCAAGAAATCCCTGCAAATCATACACAAATTGGAGACGAACATGACAACGTTATTTCTACCGTAGAGACATCGCAAGGATGGACTGACCGTCGAGATCTTCTTGCTAATGCTATGTTTACTGATTGGAGTGCAAGGCGTTCCAACAATTAATTTATTCCATGTTTTTATGTAAACTTCATTATTCTTTATGTGGTGTTGATATTATGTTTAATGATTGAACAACTCTATTATTATTTCATTATCTTGTTGATATATTGTATTTATTATGTGGTGTGATAATATTTCTTTAGGTTGGATCTATTTGTAACTTCAAAAAAAAAAGATGTTGTTTAAAAAGAAATAAACAAGGTAAAAAAACATTTCCATTTCACTTCTTAATACAACCAAACAAGAGAAATGATTCTCAAAAACATTTCTCTAGTGGATTCTCAGTTCTACCAAACAGTGTAATCAATTCTCTTTCTCTAGCTTAATTCTCTTTCTCGCATTTCCATTCTCTGCTGCAATTCCATTTCTCTGTACCAAACGCACCCTTAGGGTTAAAGGTGAATTCCCACTTATTTACATACTTCTTTTTAATCAAACATAATTAAAAAAATATAAGAAGATTAATATATTTTATAAATATTAAATAAGTAATATATACTGTTTGTATTATTAAAAGATAATATTGTGCCAACACATAATGAAAAACCGCCGCAAATAGCCTGTTTTTACAAAATAAAAAACTTTCACCATAAAAAACGGTACAATTTTAACTATATGGTTACAATTTTTATGTAAAAAATAACCATTTCAAATACTGTTTGTTTGGTTTTTAGCTACCAGATCATTAGTTCGTGGATTTATGGACATCAAATCATATACTCGATTACACTAAAATAATAGAGAAAATTATCAAAATAGCCAAATTTCCTAATGACTTATCCATTTATAGCAAAAAATTAGCATTTATTTCAAACTAACTACCAAAACTTACGTTAACTGGCCAAAAAAAAAGTTGACTACTCTTTCGGGTCAAATTTATTACAATTTGTTACAATTTTGATCACTTGACCGGTCAAATCAGTTGTTTACTAAAATGACATGATGACGTGAAAGTTTTGATGACGCGACATGCTCACATAGCATGCTGACGTGTTAAAATTGAAAAAAAATATATACAAAAGACACTAAGTTTTTATTTTTATTTTTTCAATTTTGACATTAAGTTTTATTTTTTTCTTCAATTTTGACACTTCATTTTTTATTCCAAATCGAACATCATTTTTTTCAATTTTGTTTAATGTTGACTATTTTCTATTTGAAACTGTATAATTTTTTTTAATATTTGAAACCGTATAAATATAATTTTTTTTATATTTTGTATAAATATAAAGTTTTTACATTCAAACCATAATGTTATGTATAAACATGTATTAGTTATATTATAATTGTAATTTTCATTAAATACACTACTTTAAAATAAGTTTGGAGGTGTGGAGTGTACAGATAAACTATTCCAATCTCGAGAACACAAAGATCGAGGGGAGGGGGGGTATTCTAGGTTAATATTACTATGCAAAATCTTCTCTCAAAGAACATCAAACAAAACAAGGTATTCTATGTTTCTGAATTTTAGATTTGGCATGAAATCCAAATTAATTTTTTTTACTCTGTCATCATGCCACGTCAGTGCCATATTACCAAATAGTGCATGAACAATATGATTATAATATAGTTAATACATATTTATACATAACATTATAGTATGAATGTAAAACACCTTGTATTTTTACAAAAAAAAATATGGTTTTAAAATGAAAAAAATGTATTTATACGATACCAATTGTAAAAAAGATATTTATGTGGTTTCAAATGGAACAAAAAAATGATGTTCGATTTGGAACAAAAAATGGACTGTAACGTTATTAAAACTGAACACAATTAGCAAAATGATGATTAATTTGGAACAAAAAAAATTAAGGGGCAAAATTGAAAAAAAAATGAAAACTTAGTGTCAAAATTGAAAAAATAAAAATAAAAAATTAATATCTTTTGTGACATTTTTTTTTTCAATTTTGACACGTCATCAAAATTAACACATCATCATATCATGTCAGCAAGCAGCCAGATTGACCGGTCAAGTGGTCAAAATTTAACAAATTAGATAAACACAGTGTTCATTTTGAGACAAAATATAACGCAGTGTCAAAATAGAATTCTTGTGTAAACTTAATGACTTTTAATTTACCTATCTACTATTTGGCTTATAATGAACCAATTAATGGCATTGGTCCTTTAGCAAGTTTCAGCACCTTACAAATATATATATGTATTTATTAATTATTTATGTATTATGTATTTATGTTGGATAGTTGCAACTTGAAGTTCCACGGTACAAAGGAAAGTTGAATTGATGAAATCATTAATATACTAGGTTAAAACCCGTGGAACCCACGGGTGCTGTTTTTTAATTGAATTTAAAATTTAATTATTTAATAAAATAATATTTCAATAATTCTGATAACTTATAAATTGTAATATTGAATATTTCAATAAATTTTTTTATTTGTAAGTATTTAATTACAAAGTAAATGAGAAGTATTTAATTAGGAATGAAGATTTTTGAAAACTCTTTTTTTTATGCATGATTCTTGTTGGACATATGCAGATGATGCATTACCAATGTGTGTAATGAAATTAACATAAAATACAACAATACGTAATTATAAAAAAATACAGTAATATGATGGATTAAGTGTGATTTGCTAAAATTGAATAAAACGACGTTACAAAAAAGTTGGCTACAAATTTCGAAAAACTTCCTTATAAACAACATTGGAAGTTTTATTTGTGAGTTTACCATCTTTATCTAAAATTAATAATTTTAATCCCTCTCTGCTCTGAACTCTAGATAAGGCAACATACAATTGTCCATGTGAAAAAACTGGATCTTTCAGAAACAAACCAACCTTTGATAACGATTGTCTTTGACTTTTATTAATAGTCATTGCAAAACATACGGCCAAAGGAAACTGTCTTCTTGTGAATTTGAAGGGAATCTTTTTTTCTGATGGAGTTAAAGACATTCTTGGAATAAAAGTCCGATTTCCAATATTAGTTCCAGTTATTATATGTGCCTCAATAACACGTTTGCCCAATGATAACACCTGTAGTCTTGTGCCATTACATAAGCCGTTTTTCTGATCAATATTTCTCAGTAACATTACTGGAACACCAATTTTTAAAACTAACTTATGATTTGGTAAACCGGATACTTTGAGACCATTTAATACATCAGGAGAGTATAGATTTGCATCAAATTGATCATGGAGAAATTCGGATTCACATATGTTGTCTGAACTTAAATATTCAACTTCATCTCCTGGAAACTTCTTAAGCAAACGGTCGTTTATTTCCTGGACAACTTCATTTTTCGGAGCAAGTATCGCTCTTTCTTGGAAATAATTTATATCGCTATAGTTCTCTAAAATTGAAGGATATACAAACTCAATTAAGGAACCTATAGGATCATGTGAATCATTAATGAGAATATCATCCGGAATATCGATAATAGTTTCACCGTCGTTCGGACCACCAAGTTTTCCTTCTCCTATATCCAACAACCAATTTGCAAAATCTCTTATTTTTCCTATATCTGATTGATCCCTTCCAACAGTTAGCCTCATGTTTTTTGTTAATCTATGGACTTTGCAATGTTCCCATAAATATGAAGAACTCAAAGAAGCATTTACAATGTTCTGTCTACTGCCACCCGGAACAACAGGTAGAATCTGTCTAAAATCTCCTCCAAAGACAATAACTTTCCCTCCAAATGGAATATTTGAGATTGTTGAATTTACGCACCTTAATAAATCCTTCAAAGTTCGATCTAAAGCTTCAAATGCATGCTTATGGACCATAGGTGCTTCATCCCAAATTATTAAAGAGGTTTTTCTTATTAAGCTTGCCAACTCACCGTCTGGATTTATGTTACAAAAAGAATCCTCTATAAGCTCAAATGGAATTATAAATCGAGAGTGTGTTGTTCTACCACCGGGCAATAATAAGGAAGCAATACCGCTTGAAGCAACATTTAATACAATATTTCCTTCAGATCTAATTGCTGCAGATATTGTTTTCCATAAAAAAGTTTTACCCGTTCCACCATAACCGTAAACAAAGAAGACGCCTCCTTTATTTTCTTGAATAGCACTCATGATGTTTAGGAAAATATTACGTTGCTCATTTGTTAATGCAAGAAACATACGATCATAGTCATTCTTTATCACGGGAACGTCGTAATCTAGCTCCTCGGTGATAAGCCGATTGTTTGAAGAAGAAACGGATTCAACATCTGGGTATGGCATGTTTTTGAAGTTTTTGAGAGTAGAGTTGTTTCGAAGTAAAATTTGTTGTATTTCGAACAAAGTTAAGTTCTTAAGTTCATCTACTCCGAGTGACAATTCTGCACGAAAATATTAAATAATTAATAAAATATGTCATCGATATTTAATAATTTTATTAATAATTATTTAATGGTTGTTGAATAATAAAAATAAATTAATTTAAAAAAAATAAGAAAAAATGTTATACCTGCAGACTTAAATCTTTGTCGTTGTCTATATAGAATTCCATCTGCCAAATATTCCCATGTATTTTCCCAAACGACTTCTGGTTTTGACATACTATTACACATCAACAATGTAGCAAATAAAAAGCGTAGATAAAAACCAGATCCAGAATGATTTGCTTCTTTAATTGCATCAATGTATTCCTTGTCATCATCTAATAGCCCGAGTGCATAACAAACATCTCTAAAAGAAGAATGTGTTTGACCATTTACCGTGCGAATATCATCAAATGATGTTGGTCCTTTTACTTTATTTAAAAGAATCCTTAAGAAATATGGTTCACCTAGTTTAGGTGAAACAGAATGAATTCAACAAACATAAATCCATTGACCGGACCCGAGAAATCATCACATTTTTTTAGGATGCTTTTCCAATCCAAAGTTAAGGTCTGTTTATGACCTGTATAACTAAAACCATTAGTAACAACAGCCATATTGGGTTTTATAACTATATAACTTTCATCTTCCTTTAAAAGATGACGAAATCTGGAGAAATTCTGATTGAAGACACGAGCATGGTATTGTGTACCCTGTTTAAAAAAAACTAAAAATTATTATTTTCATGAAACATGTCTAATATTGAATGATGAATAAAAAATATATGAAATACAACAAACCTCCTCGTCCATCAGGATCATTTCAATCGAACAAACTTTATTATTTCTGACAAAGTTCCAAATTTTAAGCACCCGAACCTTGATATGTGATTTTTCATCTATCTGGTCAATGTTATTTAGGTAAACCTTATTTCCTATATTCATTTTCTGCAAGAAAATTTAAACCATATAGAATTGTAAGGAAAATTAGCAACCTAACTAACAATTAAAACAGAAAAATTATAAATCAGCACCTAATAATTTATAAATCAGCACCTAATAATTTATAAATCAGCAACTAACGTAAAGAACATCCTAACTAACAATTAAAACAGAAAAATTATAAATCAGCACCTAATAATTTTTTCTTAAAGTAAGTAATATATATTTTTTAATGTGTAAACCAAATGAGTAGATTTCTTACAGACCCTTGTTTATACGTAGGGTAACTTGTATGCTATTATTAATCATTTTATTGAGATTGTATTTAGATAAATACAAACAAATTTTAAAATTTCATACCATCAAAACAAAAGTTACTGTGCAAGACTGACCATTTAGAATTTTAATAACTTTGTAGGTCAACTCCAATGGTTTGGCATATCATGTCAGAATTATGGGTTAATTCACTAATTTGTAGTAATGAACTTGAAGCTGGATCACAACAATCATGTTAAAGAAAAAATAGTTCTCATGTTCATTAGTTTTTTCGTATACATCTACATTAATACGTAAATAGACAAAGTAAAAATAATTGACATCATAAATTAGATTTAATGTAACAGCAAATCAAAGTAAATATAACACCAAAAAAAAAATGTAATAGTAAAGTTTCAGATCTGAAAAAAACTATTTTTTATTTTTTTAAAGAAAATGAACTTGTCATGTTCATTAGTTTTTCGTCTTTTAAACTGAAAAGGTAGAAGAAGTAGACGATTAAGAAGAATTACAAAAAAGAAGAAGAAGAATAGCAATCATACAATGAGAACGTGATAGATACCGATAAATAAGACCATGAAGGGAATAGAAATATTTGTAATTTTGATATTTGAATACACTAACCTGATATTTAATTATTGAAGTGTTGCAGAATCAAGAAGAATGAAGAAGAATACGTTTGCTGTGGTTTCTATGAAGCATAATTGTTATGGAGCAGAATGGTAAAAACAAAATAAATGGTATTTACGTTTGCTGAGAAGAATACTTTAGATTTTTAGGGATTTAATGATTGCAATATATTTAATTTGCAATCAAAATAAACAAACTTTCAAATTTAATCGTGAATTTCGAATCTGATTTTTGATTAACATATTTTTTCAAATTATTTCCATAATTTTTATTCATTTAAAAATAATGGTTGAATATTTTGAATGCAGTTGACTGCTCAAATTTCCGGATTTTTTGCATCAGTTTGAACTTTGATTTAATTTGGATTGAATGGCATTTACGTAAATATAGATGAATAAATGAGCGGGAAAACTCGATTTTGGGGGTCCTTAGAGAGTGACACGTGGCAGAGTTGTACTTATTTATTAGAATTAGGATTTATGTATCTTTAAATTGCGTTTACACATCATACTTTGAGTGGTGTTTATTATGGCCCCCGTAAGTGCTAACATTTATAGAATACCATTTATAAAAAACCAATTAAACCGATAAACGACTAAGTCCACTGAATAACACCCCTATCAGAGATCTGAATAGATCTACCTATTTATACAGTCCCTCTAAATCCTATTTAGAGAGAATCTGAAATATACGGTAGTTACCACATTCCCATGTTTTGGATACTCTCACTCTCAAGGATATCACTGTGATAAAGTATGGATTCAGCATATGGTGAACCATGTAAGTTCACAATTTTAGTGTCCAAGTTTTGTGGCTGAAATTAAGAAAAAAATGTTTTCGAAATGCGATGTACATTTCTAAACGCGTTGAATATTTTTTTATTAACTAGGTATTTCATATGTGCTCGTGTAGTAATTATGTTATACATACAAGATATCTAAACGTCTGATTGACTAAATTTACATGCTTCTTAGTTTGATTCTGTCATGTAATATTTCTCCTCGTCAACAGAAAATGTCAGTCTTCTAAAAACAAATGTCTGTAGGATTCGTAATTTCGTATAAAGAGAAAGAGACGCTTTATACGAACCACTTTTGACTTGCATAATCAAAGATATCGATGGTTCAAAAAGAATCTGTGAAAGCTTTTGAGTCACCCACCATTGAAATCAGTAGTAAAAGCAAAAAAGGAAAAGGTGAATCAGAAACACCAAACCAGTTACTATAGAGAATCGCATGCCTGTGTCAGAACTCAGATACACTTTGCTTTAAAGCTTCACATAATAGAGTCTTTATTATGTACTTATAATATAAATGATAAACTATTTATTTAATAGAGTACATATGTATGATATTATTACATACCGATTCATTTTATCATTTTAATAACTATCTTCTCCTTTTTTAAGCTCTCTTTACAATAAGCTTGAAAAACCACCACACATAATACTTTGAAATGAGAGCAATGAAAGAGTTCGAACATGAAGAACTTGAAGAAGCAACTCATAACTATTCAAGGTCTCATCTCATAGGCAAAGGAAGCCATGGGTGCATCTACAAAGCCACTCTCAAAAATGGTCAAATGGTTGCTATAAAGACACCATCTTTAGGCCTTTGCAAGCTACAAGACACCTCCAAGATTGATAATGAAGCTCACATATTGTCATCTTTCCCACCGAACCGATTCTTGGTCAACTTATTCGGGACGAGTCATGACTCAGCCGGGCACCGAGTCCTTGTTATGGAACACATGCCCGGTGGAATGCTTCATGATTTGCTCCACATGACCATTGGTGGCTCGTCTCCACCATCATGGTGTAAACGAGCCACAATGGCAGTCCAAATAGCTCGAGCTGTGCAGTTCCTCCACGATTCGAAGCCCGTGGTTGTCCACCGCGATATAAAGTCTGAAAATATCTTGTTTGATTCAAAATCAAACGCTCGACTGGCTGACTTTGGGCTCGCAGTGTGTATAAACTCACCGAGTCAACAAGTTGACTCGGTGAGTTTACCTGCGGGGACTATTGGATACTTGGATCCTTGTTACACTACCCCGTGTAAGTTGAGCACTAAAAACGATGTGTTCAGCTTTGGGGTAGTGTTGTTGGAGATCATTAGTGGCACGAAAGCTATTGATGTCTCTAGGGATCCTGCTTCGATAGTGGAATGGTCAAAGGGTTTGATTGGAAAAAATCAAATAATGGAAATATGCGATAAAAGGGTCAAGATGCCACGTCACATGGAAGACCGGATACGAAATATGTTGGTTCTAGCTATTCAATGTGTGTCATCAGATGAAGAATCACGTCCATCCATTACAGAAATCGTTACCAAATTGGAAAGATTTAGATTTACAATATGGGGAGATAAGATAAAAAGTCTTGTTCTTTTAAAAAGCCGAAAAAAGCTTGCTTCAAATATGTCTGCCACCACCACTAACACGGTTGTCGCCACCACTTTAGGTGGTCATATTAGTGTCACAAGAAGGAAGATCTTGCTAAGAGAAATACTTACAGGTACTGTTTTATTGCACTGAAGTGTACATTGTTTTGGAAAGAGAGATTGAACTCAATGTAACTAGGATGAGTTTATAACTCGGGTGAGTCAGCTCAGCTGAACTCTAACGACTGCTTTGAAATTAAAATTACTGCTGGGAAAATTCTGGAATTTCACATTGTCTTGTGTGAGATGCTTCATATATCAAATGAGTTGTTTAATTTTAGATTTTAATGAATGATGGTTTCTTTAAATGATCAATAAATTATCTAATATATGTCATATATTGACATGTACAGAAAAATTTAAAGTCATAATTTAAAAGTAATAGAGATGTATGAACAAATGATGGTTAGAATAAGGTTTTTTTTTCTCATTTAAGCCGTAAAGTTTCTTGAGGAATGAATATATGTTGTAACCAAAGTAATGGAACTGTTAACAATTGGAGCGAAAGTTAAATAAACAAAAAGAGAGGGACATGTTTTGTCAAAGTCTCGAAAATATAAATTGTAAACAGATCGAAATTTTGGTAATAATTTTGAAACCGTACTAAAAGCAATCAATGTCAAAGTTAATAGAAATTAATGAGCAATATAACGTTACAACTTACACATGTCTCGTTTTAATTGTGATATAAACATGAATCATATTGGAGACAATCAAGTATGAAGAGGTTTTTACGAGTTTCACATGAAATGAAAAGGTAAAATTGATTTGTAAAGCTTTGAGTTTATAATTGTTTGCTTGCAATTTATTGTTTTTTTGTTTGTTTGGACGTTTTTTGCAAAACTAACTGATAACGGAAGGAAATCTTTCTATTTTATTCCTGCAGAAATATTTGGAAAAAATAGTTGGTAGTTGGTAGCCACAAGCTCTAAGCATTTTATAGAAAAATTTATTTTGTATACCAATAGTTGAATCACAATTTTTATTTTTTTTTATTTTAAGCAAAGATAAATTTTTTTTTTTTTTAAAACAAAAAGATGCATTTTGTATAAACTAAATGTGCTTACAATTACAAAAGTACGTTGCCCAAAACTGAAAGAATTTCCTTTCTTTCCTTTTTGTATTCATCAAATACAATATGAAATGTGAAATTGAGATGTTTTGATGAATTCATACAGACAGATCTTGTCTTCTCAAAGGGATGCCATCTTCATCATCCTCCTCTGTTATGCGTTTTGATAATCGCCCTGATAAAGTTGTGGGACCTACATTTCATTAAATATAAATAAATATAAACTTCCCATGTGCCTGTTAAGCTCACTTTTGAAGCTTATTGCCAATTTATAATCTCTACAAATTAAGCAAATTCTTTTAAAATAATATGTAAAGAAGAAGCATATTATATATATACCATCAACCATGTCTTTTGTTTTGTGAAGAAGAAAGGTTCCAGCAAGAATGGTCACAAATCCACATAGTTCAGTCACAATCTGAGTAGGATTCTGCCCATCCCAATCCTGTTTCACTCATAGTAATTGTCTATTGATTTGCAAATAATAATAATAATAATAATAATAATAATAATAATAATACCTTGAACATGATCACACTTGCCAAGATAGTAAGAGATGTGAACATAGTGTAGTATATGGGAGAGACAACAGCTGTATTAAATGTATCAAGTGCCTGCATCCAATATTTTCAACAAAAACTAGGACCGTTAGTCAACTCTGACTATCTGACACAGTGACAATGACAGTGACAGTTCTTATGTGTGAAAAAGACATAAATGCCCTCCTCGTATATTGTAAATAGATGGAGGGTAATTAATGTACCTTGTTGAGATAATTCATTTGAGTGATGACACAAAGGAGAACAATGAAGGTAAAAACCCATGTTTGGGGATATACCATCTGATTCATTCCTGAAAAAGTAAGCTTCAAAGCAATGCCAACGGCTTTCACACTCATCACCTGTGAAAAATGAAACCTTTTATTTGGAATTTATAAAAAATAAAAATAAATACCATGAACATGAAGAAATAAATACATACCGATAATGAGCCTACTAGTGAACATACTCCAATATAGCACATTATGTGTGTCTGACCATATATAGGGATATAACAGAATACTATCATAAAAACAGCCATCAAAACCAATACTGCATATAGGACGAAAGCTGCACAAAAGGAAAGATGATTATAGAAACTATAAATATTAAAAATAAAAATCTACTTTTTTAAAAATTAAAACAGTCTAGGGAATTGTAAGGGACGAAATGTTAAGAAACATTGAAATAGGGATGAAAAATGCAAAAAGATTAAGTTCTAGACCATGACCAAAAGAATCAAAATAGTATAGGGACCAAAAGTGTAATTTACTTTATGTATGATTACACAAACTATACTATTGAATAATAATCTAGTTTTATAGATTAAAATGATCGAACCGAGTTGTAAGAATTTGAATACATTTTGAGCAATATCTATTTCTTTTCATACGAAAAATGTTAAGATAAGAAACAGGGGAAATAGGGAAGATAAATGCAAAAAGATTATTTTCTGTATCATAACCAAAAAAAATGATATTGCGAAGGGATCAAAAGTGTAATTTACTCTATCTTTGATTAAAAAACCATACTATTAAATAATAATCTAGTTTTCTTAAATAAAAACGATCTAGGGAATTGTAAGAATTTGAATACTCTTAGAAAAATATCTATTTTTTTTGGACGAAAAATGCAAAAAGATTCTTTTCTGTACCCTATCCACAAAGAATGATATAGCAAATGGACAGAAAGTGTAACTTACTCTATATTTGATTACAGAAACCATAATATCAAATAATAACATTTCTTAAAATAAAAATAATCTAGGGAGTTGTAAGAATTTGAATACACTTTGGATGTATTCTATCATCTTTAGCCAAGTTTCAAAACTTTACCCATTGACCAATTAGAGATGTAATATACCCAAGTTGATTAACCAAGTTAAATTGGTCAAATTGCAATGTATAACAAAAAAAAAATTGTAATTTTACACATAAAAATTTTCAAAATGAAAAACATTTACCTGGCTCTGTGGCAAGATCCCATACTTCTGTCACTGATTCCATCTGACGTTCCTGAGGAGCATGTAGAACAATTGTGGTGGAGCCCACAACACATAAAGCACAACCAAGAATTCCAAAAATATGCAGCTTCTCTCTCAAAATAATATATGCAAGCACAGCACTGCAATATATCATCATGTTGACATGTCAGTATTTCACATACAGAAATAAGCTTATGGGGATTGAACTTAAACAGATTATGATTTTTAATCATGTTCATGCCTGATTATAATGCTGAGAGCCCCAAGAGGAGTGACCAGAATAGCCGGTGCAAATGCATATGCAGCAAAATTTGCTATCTCTCCAACAATCACTGTTGAAACAATCCATGGTGGTTAAATTGTAACATATTGTGGCTCATATTGCCATTAAAGTATTAAACAAAAGGAGAGAAGAAAACTCACTTGTTGTCATGCCTACCCACCATAGAGGCTCCAATAAGTATGAGTATCCTCCAACTCCTGACAAAAATCATTAAATCACAAATTTGGATGATCAATCTTTTAAGTATCCTAATAAATGAACTGTGTGTTACGAATTCAATGCCAACGTTTTCCATTTAAAGTCAAAAGAAGTTTTGATCACTTGATTACAGGTGTTTAATACATCATTAAATCTTCACTATAGGTCAAAACAAAAGAGGATAATCGATTTAAAAATGAGTCTGATTAACCAAATGATGATGTACAAAAAGCGTGTATCAATACCTGCCCTGGTACCAGAAGCACCTGCTTTTATGAGACCTTTTTTCTTAACAATGAAGCTAGCACCAATAAACAAACTAGAAGACAATGCCAAAATCAAACCCTTGATATTATCAGTGGACATGCCCCTGTAAGCATCCCTCCAGACATGGGCTGCCATTCAACGCCAAATCAAGGAAAACCCTAGTTTCCTTTTTTTTTTTTACTTTATTCCTTTTCTATCACGACGCCATTATATTTCACATGAGAAACAATGAAATTTGAGCGGAATACGAAAAAAATGAGATCGACTGCTCCGATTGAGATGGTTTTGAAGATCGTGTCGCCTGTCGGCTTGAGGAAGTACGAATCTGATTGCAACAGCTGAGGGTGTTGAGAGAGTATTATTCAGTTTCTTCTACAGATCGGGGAAGAATGATCATGTGGGGTAACGAAATTTGATTCGATTCAAGTGTTAGTGACGGATGAATAGATGATATACGTTTTGGTGAAGAGGGGATTGGATTTTGTTTTCGAGTAATTTATTTTTTTATTGTCTTTCCTTTTTTGATCATCTGATTTGCAATAAACGGTCGTACGGATTACCAATGAAAGGTAAATCGTGAATTATATTCCTCGTCTAGTAAAATCGATTTACTTCAAAATTTTCAACTTGTAAATTATAGATATAATTTTACAAGTTGTTAAAGGTTCTTTTATCCCACATTAGTGGGTGAGTTTATGGTAAGTTTATATATCATTTCTCTTGATACGTCCTTCAAAGGCTAGACTTTAGTGGATTAAAGGAATTGGTGAGGTCCATGCGTGCACTTAGTCTAGCCTATGAGTATTTGATACTCTGGAAAATTATAAGCTCCCTTGTTCTCTTCGTGATTTCTTCCCGGTTTCTAAGTATTGACCGATCCGGACAGTTATTCCACGTTTAAGATCAGCCATCAATAGGTCAGTTTTACATTATTGTCTTGTTTTTTAATTTCGTCCAACAACAGTTTTACATTATTGTCTTGTTTTTTTAATTTCGTCCAACAACATGACACACTGCTTCTACTCATTTCTTATAATCTAATTTGATCGAGAAGGATTGATCTGATTTCTGGACGAAACTTGATAATTATAATAATAATAATTGGATTTATTTATCGCAATTAATCGACATATAATTCTCAATATGATTTGTCAGTTTTGCATGTTTACTTCCAGAGTATTAGATTATTCAAAACGCCAGAGTCGGTCATACTTTTAGGAGTAAGTAGTTATATCAAACTGTCATGAACTATTATTAGATTGTCCATTGTGATTGGACATAGCATGGAGATTGTTGCTATACTCACGAATAAGGGTGTTCGCAGTTCGGTTTGAAACCATGAAACCGGTCATCGGTTTGGTTTACGGTTTCTAATTTTTCAAACCGTAATGAACGTTTTGGCTTACGGTTTCTAGTTTTTTAGACCGTATAAAAATCGGACCCGACCCAATTAGTTTGTTTTGTCAACTGTGAAGCCCAATTGTAAAGTGTTGGAGTTCGTCCACTTATAGTTCCAAGAGTCTAGACGCCCAACGACATAACCTTAGTTGCAATCACAAATTGTATTTGTTTCTTTCTTCCATTCTTATTTATCTGTCGTTCATTTAAACCAATTGTCATTGCCAAATGCCAACTGAGTAAAGCACCAGACGCCCAGACAAACAGGTATCACCGGCGACCCTACGCCTACAGCTCGGCGCCTCCGCTTGCAGATCCCATTGCTCTCTGCCTCTATGACAAGGTATGTTATGAGTTCTGACCTCTTGCCTATGTTTTGTATCCGAAATCACCAATGTATCCGAAATCACCAATATTAATTATATTACTGATAGACTACTTGCGAGAGATATGTTTAGGATGGACATGGTGTATGGTTGTTGGATTTTAGAAAATTTATACACCGAAATGATCCTACCCTCAGACTGTATTGACTGGCTGATCCTTACTTGATAGTCTTGAAGTACTAAACAAAAATTAATAAAACTTACAAACAAACATCATATATAGAGTTATATATATAAACTCAGACCCTCGATGATAACACTTAATATATATATATATATATATATATATATATATATATATATATATATATATATATATATATATGTAACACCCCGACTCTCAGGTATTAATTTTACAGCTTTATTTTCATATTGAAAGGTCTACTCGACGAGTTGGATGCCCTGACTCGTCGAGTAGGAACGTTTTTGGCCACGTGTTTAAGTGACCAACTCGCCGAGTCGGAGGCATGACTCGACAAGTTGGAGATGGAGGATGAAACCCTAATTTCTGGGGTTTTGCACCCTATTTAAAGGGTCATTAGCCCCCTTAGCCTCCCTTACAGCCCCCTTTGAGTCCAGAAACCCTAAAACGCGTTTTCTCTCCATATTTGTGTAACATCCTGTTCCAAATCGATTCTTAGTCTGAGGATGTGGCCCGAAGATCGGTCATCATAAGGATTAGGACTTTTGAAAAGGTAATATCTAGGCCCATTTGGGTGCGGGTGATGTATTAGAAGTGATTTGGGTGTTCGGTTCGTGTTTTGGAGTCTAGGGGTATTTCGGTAAAGTGGCAGTTCGGGCTTTTGTGGAAAATGGACTTTTGTTCGAAAGGTATTAAGGAACGTATGAGTTGATAGAAGCGTAGGGCTTCTCTTCACCTTTCTGTGGATATAAGGATCGTCAGAATCGGGCTTATAACGAAGAAGTTATGGCCTTCGGAAGTTTCGTGGTTTTCAGGCTTAGCCGAGAACACGGGGCGTACACAAAGAGTACGCGGGGTGTACTAGTGAAGAAGGAAGTACGTTGGGCATACTGACCGGGATGGTCACGAATGTTCTTCGGAGTACGCTAGGCGTACCAGGATTACGTTGGGCGTACGCCAGTCAGATCAGAACCCTATTTTAGGGTCTTGGACCCTATTTAAGCTCCTTATCTCATAACCTAACCCTAATATCTTCAGCCTCCACCCTCTAAAACCCTAATATAAGCTCCTTATGAAGTCCATTTTTGGAGTGTTTGGCCCATTTTCAAGAAGATGGTGCTTGTTGCAAATATGGGAATCAAGGAGGAGCTTATGGATCTGGCTTTTGGGACTCATTCTCAGCTTGATGAAGGTATAAAGCCTTTAAATTGATCATTCATCTCTTAGATATACCATTTGTGGGTTTTTAGTTCATTTTGGTCCCAAGTATGAGATCTAGTGGTTTTGATTTCATTCCACGAGCTTTGAGTTGCCCCTCTTAGTGTTTCTGAGGTTCAAGGTCCATAAAACTGGCACCTTTAGAGTTTAAGACCATCTATGTTGAAGTTTGAGCCATTTCCATGAAAGTAGAATGTTATTTGGTCTTATTAGGAGCATGCAAAGTCACCAAGTCAGTGACTTTATGGGTTTAGACATTATGTGGGACTCAGATATGTAGTTTGGACTTATGACTAAAAGCATTAAGAGCTTAATGGCAGAAGTGAGGCTATAGGGTAGTACGTTGGGCGTACAAGCCAGTACGCTCAGCGTACAAGCCATTAAGCGAGTACGCGCAGCGTACTGCTGTGTACGCCCTGCGTACTCAGCCAGGTTGGGTTTCGGACTTTGGGCTTCGGGTTTGGGCCATTCATGGGCCTTTATGGATCTTATGGTTTTGGACTTTGTGTTTTGGGTCCTGTTAGGCCATCAGGTTTTGGGGTTGACATTTATTTATGGATGCCCATTATGGTTTTGAGCCCAAATTAGAAAATTGGGCCATAGATTGGGTTTGGGCCCAATTTGGAAATTGGGCCATTGATGGATTTATTGACATTATAGTGTTGGGCTTTTGTTTTGGGTTTGGGCCATAGTTTTGGATCAGACTAGGCCAGGGGTAGAATGGTCATTTTACCCCATGCATGGATTAAGGATTATGGATAGGACCCAATTGCTAATTGGGTATATTGTTTGGTAGTGACAGCTTGGGAAGCTGGCGGGGCAACAACTAAGGAATTCATGCGGGAAGCTTCTGCAGTGCGAGGTGAGTCTTCTCACCATACCAATTGGTCCAAGGCACCAAGGCCGACCCATTTTATGATAGATGGAATACTTGTTGTGTAGAGATGTGTGGTATACTTGTTGTAGAGATATGTGGTATGATAGTTAGATACTATTGGTAATATGCTAGCTATATATACATGAGATATTTGCAGGGAAAGACCATGGGGGGAGCCCATGGCACTTGGATGTAAGACCATGTGGGGGAGCCCATGGTTGTCTGGCAGGGAAAGACCATGGGGGGAGCCCATGACACTTAAGTGTAAGACAATGTGGGGGAGCCCATGATGTCCCTATGAAGGGATATGTGGTATAGATAGCTTTTATAGCTAATATTATATGGTAGAGATAGCTTTATGGCTAATATGATATGTGATGTGTGGTAGAGATAGCTTTTACAGCTAATGTGATATATGTTATGTGGTAGAGATAACTCTTATAGCTAATATGATATGTGGTATGTTGTAGAGATATCTTTTATAGCTAATATGATATGTGTTATGTAGATTGTGTGTGGGGTATGCTCTGGGGGACTCACTAAGCTTCGTGCTTACGGTTTAAAGATTTGGTTTCAGGTATCATCGATTTGGAAAAGAAGGGCTCGGATTGATCGCAGTGCACACACCTATGATTTCCGCAATGAATGATTTTGGGATGAAATCTGATAAATGTTTTACTTAATGATGAATTGAAATGTTTGAAATAAATGGTATCAATGTTCTAGCTATATTAAAAATGAAATTTTTACCATTGATTTTTGGGTCGTTACAAGTTGGTATCAGAGCCTTGGTTTGAGGGATTCGGACATACCTTCGGGTGTGTCTGAACTCAAACTAAGGATCTGTAAAGTTTTCAAAAGAAAATTGTTTTCAAGGAAAAGTTTCTAAGAAAAGAAAGGGTGTGGTGCATGCAATAGGCCGAGCTCAAGTAAGTTTCCCCATAATACCCATATATGTTATCTGTTATGACTTAATTTATGAATATGAGAATCGCATGCTAGTTAGGGCTAGGGGAGATGCTTGTATATGTTGTATGAGTTGGTAGACATGCATGCTAGTGCTGAGTAGTCAGCAATAGATTGACCTGATATGGTATGCCATGCTAGAATGAGAATGATTATTGGTATTGGTAACTGCTACGTGTATGTTTTTAAAATTGTATACGGTTAGGATCTTATAGCCTTAGAATAATTGATTTAGCCTTATTTCCTGTTCCTCGTATGGTTGTGGTCCTAGGGTAGAGTCTATTATTCGACAGTCTATTGGATCATGTTCTGTGTATAATTTGCATGCATAAGGCAGCCGACGGTGAGGATGGATGGATGTAGATAGCACAGATTGCGATATGTGGGCTGAATGTTCTATGATAGTCTGTTGGATAAGAGTGCTACTGCACAAATGTTGCTTGCTTTGTGCTTTGTGGAACTCTTAAGTGATGGGAGTCAGCCACTAAGAGGATATGAGGATATCCAGG